CCAGAGAGCGGAAAACAGCATATCACAGCCATGGAAGCCAGCAAATGAACTAGGTCAGAGATTGCAGATTCTACCCGACCTAAAAAGCCTCTGCATTGATCTAAAAACCTCTAAGACCAGAGGCATATTGAAACGAGGATAAATCAACTCATCAACTTGCAGTGTAAGACTCACCGCCTTCCATTGTCAAATGTGCTCATTCCCGTTGCGTGTTCTCAATCTGATAACTTGCTCGTGCGTCGCGTCTGAGGAGGAGGGGCGGGAGAAATACTATTTTGAATTTGGACTGCAGTATCCATTTCAGCCGCCAGCTGTCAATATTACATACTGCACCTTTAAAGGTTAAAATCTCAAAATTAATCCTTTGAAAACCATTTTAAAACCGAACATTGCGTTACCATGGAAATGGTACTTTAAAATATTTTAGCGGTCTCCTCCCCCTTAGTGGGCAGTGTCATGTGTCATATTACAAAATGTATTACGGTATTTTACAATCAAAACTTTTTATAATCTTGACAAAATACATATCGTTGGAAAGGTCTGAGTCTTAATAGTCCATATTCATTATTTTGTGATAGAAGTAATATTGAGAGAGAAATTTATACAATTGTGACAGAAAATTGCATTTAAAAAAATGTCAACCGGTGGCTAAACAAAATTTCAATGGAACCTAATTTTTTTAATATCAACTTCAAATTTGAAACATAACTTATTTAGACATATGGCTTTATTTTTATAGCAATTTTGGATTAAAAATATTAATTTTATATAAAATAAATACAAATTAGTACAGTACATTTTCTTTACAGTAAATTTAAACTTCCATAACTTTTTTTATGCTTTCTTTTTTTTTTTTATTATTTTACTTCTGCAATAATCTGCTGGTTGTCTTCTTTAAAAAGAGACCAACCTTAGGTCTGTATTCCAAAGCGCTCATGAATTATAACAATTAAAGTCTGGATAGTGCACTTTTAAAAATGTTCAAAAATGAGGGGTGACAGTTAAAGAGCAGGTCAGCTAGTTATTGTGTTTACATCATGTCGAGAAGACGCTGTGTTTTCAGCCTCACTGGGCATTCTAACACAGTTCCCACACGTGCACCTCAAATAAGTAAATAATAATAATGAATGCAATAAAACTGCTGTCACATCACGTAAAATACCACATTCAAGGTTTAAACTTACCACTGAGAAACGTCCTGATCAAGTCGAGCTTGCAATGGAGTTTCTGGTTGAGCGACTGCATCGGTATCATCCTCGGACTCGGGCTCGAATTGATAAAGTAATATTGATGCAATTTTTGTAACCTTACAGCATCTTTGTTTACAAGTAACCCTCCGGAGCAAAACAATAATTATGGTAATGGTCGTTTCGTTTCCGACACGCATAGTATACGGAAAGACCAATCACAACAGACTTGGCCAGCTGACCAATCAGAGCACAGTAGGCTTATGGAAGGGAGGGGTTTGAAGAACTTAAGCTCAGAACTGCTTCGGACGAATCGTTTCGAAATCATTGAAAAATTATTCTAATATTAAATGTATATTTAGAGAAAATTACAATGTTTTCTGACCTTAGATGCATTTAAACCTGTTGTAGGGGACTCCAACACAATATTAGGACACTTTAAAATACCATATGACCTGCTCTTTAAGGGTTTTAGGAAGAGTTCACTCAAAAATAATAATTTGCTGAAAGATTTACTTACCATCGGGCCATCCAAGATGTGCAAGTTTGTGTCTTTATTGGAACAGATTAGAAGAAATTTAGCATTAAATCACTTACTCGCCAATGGGTCCTCTGCCATAAATGGGTGCCGTCAGAATGAGAGTCCAAACAACTGATAAAAACATTACAGTAATCCACACGACTTCAGTCCATCTTGTGAAGTGTTTGTATGAAACAAATCCATCATTAAGGTGTTTTAACTTTAAACCTTCACTTCTGGCCAAAATACCAGTTCATAATCCATAATAACGCTGAATTTGTTTAGTACAAACACACAGCTTTTCACTTCAGAAGTTGTTAACTGATGGACTGAAGTCATGTGGATTAGTTGTGGATTATTGTGATGTTTTTATCAGCTGTTTGGACTCTCATTCTGACGGCACCCATTCACTACAGAGGATCCATTGGTGAACAAGTGATGCAATGCTACATTTCCAGGATGATATCATACTGAAAAAAAACTTTCAGGTTCTACAATATTAAATAGAAAGTTTTTGTGATTTCTGAAGATACAATGGGTAATTATAGCCATTTATATTTGAAATCGGAAAGCATCAGTATTACCTTTACCTGCAAATGATCAGATTACTGCTTTTATCACGTACTGTATTAGATTCCCAACAACTTCTAATTTAAAGTTACCTCAAATGCAACAAAAAATTTAACAAATGGCACAGTTAGCTCAATGGTTGTTTAGTGGAGTGAAATAACTCCAGATGATGTTTGAATGAGTGCTGTGACTGAACAATGTCTGTGACTGCTTGTGTATTGCATTTTATAATGAACAGAAGGAGAAACTTCTCCTCTGCTACACAATCATTTTTCAACACAGTGAAGTTTTTCACTTCAAAGCTTACGATACACATTATTTTTAATTTCAAATCCAAAGAAAGTGGCTCTGATCAAATTATAAATAATATACTTTGATAATTACATAGTTTAAAACTAAATATTCCCTTACGTTAGCTACTCTTTTTAGTAGGTTGTTACATTGCTAACTTTTTCAAAGAGTATAGCTTAACTTTGAAGTGCTGACTACAGTTTTAATGTAGCTTACCAATGCCAATAACAGCCTTAACAACGTATCTTGCAGCGAATAAGTAACTTGTATGATTTCAGATGTCTGGCAGTCTTCATTCTTCACTTTGCTGAGTCACTCTAAAATAATCTGAGCATCATAGAGCTCTCTGAATCTGAAGGGAACAAAAGATCTCAAAGGTTTCAATTAGCCATGACTCTTTGATCTCACTTGATTCACCCCGCCTTCCTCTGAAACCCCACACAACCCCCTACCTCATGAAACATGGACCATCTCACCAACCTTACCACATCACAAAAAACTGTCTGAAACAATTCGAAGTGTGCTACAGGGCCTGCACAAACCACCTGTAGAAACACACTCCCCACATGCAGCAGAATGACAATAAAGCTCAATTTGAACTTGACTTGAACTTGATTCATTATACCTCATGAATACTGTCATTAACACAGCATGAGGAGAGAGAGAGAGAGAGGATGTCCCAACCAACAATCCATTATCTCTATATACTTGTATACAAACAAATGAAAAGTTTGGATACTGTACTGTCCAAAAGTTTGGACTTTTTACTTGATTTATTCAGTTTATTCAGCTGTAGGGGAATATCGAGAAGAATAACGAAGTGCAGTAAACGGTAAAACTGCTTTACAAACCACTGTGTTCATAATTAAGATAATACATTAAAATAATATGGTTACACTAAGACACACTAGTTTGCATTATCCAGCAGCAAAACCAGCTGTTTTGTACAACTAAAAATACTCTGCCCCACGACTTTTAATAAAATAGCTTCGATGCTGAATCACTACACTGTATTTCTCAGCAACAAGGAGGTAAAATCGCTGTTTTTGAAGTAACTAAACTCACAGCTTCATTGTTTATAGAGAGAGATACACAGATGCAGGTAATTCACACTTGCAACTTTCATCTCTCTCCCTCTTTCTCTCTCGATAATTAGTTCAAATAAATGCTATAATGCATTCAAATAAATAAGATCTTACCGCACTACTTCATCTTTGTGTCTGATTTGAAGTGGGCATAATGCTAGAGCTAACAAGCTGTAACTGCCGACATTTTTTTTACACTTCCAATCTAATTTTGTGCTGCAAACATTAACAGCTTTGCCACCACGTCGTGCATTAAAACTGCTTAATATACAGCTAGCCGTGAATTATCCCTTACTTGATGTTTACCTGCCAGCCAATCAGAATCGAGTGTTCAGACAGACCATGGTATAAATTTGTTTATACCTGACAAAGGTATTGAGTGCAATGACATGACAAGTTTTAACACTCAAGGTAATTTCACATCAGGGTATATCTGTCAGGAAACAGCTGGAAGTGCCAGTGTGTGAAAATTGCGAGATCAAACATATTGGGATGTTTTCCATTCCAAACAGTGACAGTGAAAATGCCTTCACGAAGCATCTGTGGACGACGTGGGATTTTCTCAGGCATGCAATGCCTCAGTCTTTCTGTCCCGCTGCAGCCAAATCAGTAAAACAAAATATTGGTCATGAGTGTTTGGTGCGTGTCTGATGAAATATCAATACTGCACAGCATTAAGGGCTTTGCAGTCTGTCTTCATGTGGCAGGATTATGTGCAATTACATTTCTCACCTGTCCTCTTCTCTGTGTTCATGAATATTTAAACACAAATGTGCATCGCTCCAGCAGAGAACTAGAGCAGATTCAGAGTGGAAGCTCTCAATGTCTCTCTGCAGAGGTGAAAAACGGGCATACCTGCGAGCCACTGTATAATCATTTCATATTATTTGAATCTCTAAAATCCAATTCCGCAAGTCTTTGAAAACGTAAAGAGTATTTGGAAATAAAAGCCTGTCAAAAGCTCATTACTACCCCTGGGTTTCTTTGGCTCTAATGAAGCAGACAGTATAAAGCGTGTTCTTCTCGTGGGAATGTTCTCCCTTTTTGTTCCCCACCTAGGGTAAAGCTCTTTATGAAAAGTGCCGGTCTGAAGCTCATAATCCCATTGCATCATTCTTTCAGTGCCTCTTTAAACTGTGATGGAAAGATCGATACGTTCACCCAAACAGATGATCTCTCCATAAATCATCTTTATGGGAGAAGTGAGGACTGATCCAGCAATTTACGCCTTCAAGCAAACTTCAAGAAAAAAGTTCTGCCAACATACTGTACTTTTTGTATAAATTGATGAAGAACACCTTTCTTTGTAAAAAAATGTAAAATAAGTTTTTAAAGATGCATTCTTACCTTTGAGTTTCTTCTGAACATCCAGAGCGATATCCAGAGGATAAAATGGAAGAACGGGATCTGTAGCGAGTCGCAGGATGGCCTCGGCTGTTATCTAAATCAACAAAAGACAAAAAGTCTATTTAGATCCTTGTTTATTCAATAACATAAAAACAAATTTTACCATCTATGTTTTTTTTATTAAATATTATCTTATTATTTAACCGTAAAGCACCACAAATATCACATATATTTTATTTTATTAATAAAGTAATACCAATATCACAAAAATATGTAATTTTATTATAAATGTCAGTACCACCAAAATCAAATATTTAAAAATATTTATTCTATTGTTGTTTTTATTAATGTTTCTACAGTACCTCAGATATCATAAAACATTTATTTCATTTTATTATTAATGTATCTAAAGTACAAATAAAAACACTTCTATGCAAATCAGACATCATGCCGTTTGTTTGTTTATTTATTATTTTGTTTTGTATTAGGGTTCTCACAAAAATATTACACAACACTACTATTTCAACATTAATAATACGAAGAAATGTTTCCAGAGCAGCTAATCAACGTATTAGAATGATTTCTGAGGGATCATGAGACACTGAAGCCATCACAAGAATAAATTACATTTTAAAATAGATACAAAACAAAACAAAAAAAAACAAGAACTTTATTTTAAATTGCAATAATTTTTCATTTTTGTAATATTTAATGGGAAACGGATCATAATGTTTCACAATATCACAGTTTTTACTGTAATTTTGATCCAGTAAAAAAAAATAAATAAATAAATATAAAACAACTAAACTTGACAGTCAGTGATTATGATGTATTTTTATTTCATAGAAAATAGTAACTTTGACATTTTGCATTTTGTGTTCAACAGCACAGGAAGTTGGGGGGACGTTTGGAATGACATGGGTGAATTTTCAATTCAAAGCAAATGATCCAAAGGAAATATTACTCACTTTTTAAGTACAATAATTGTGCAACTTGATAAAAAATACTATTCATTCATTCATCCACATAGCTCAAAATCTGAAGGCACTTTAGGCAAACATTCCTATTTCATTGTTTTAGCGAAGGATTGTACAACACCCACAGTTACGTTTTAAATGTTAAAACTGTCCATAAACGCTCCCACAGTGCTTTTATCTAATGGGCTCAGATAACAAAAGCATTTTTTTAAGCTGCTAGTCTTTCAAAGCTGAATTACAATTATTGGTTGAGATCTGTCTTGTCTTTCTGATGCCCTTCTACTGATATTCACTCTCTTGTTGGACTTCGTTGCTTTCCACCTCAGACACTCTGCAGTGGCATCTGATGGGTGCTGGTAATTGTGCAGTCCGTAAGATCCGTACCAAGCTTTTCCTACATCCACAGTGCCCACTGATCAAATGTTATCGAGGTTAACACACGGGCTGGGAAACTGCACGACATGAACAAGTATCGACTGCGGTTTTATCATATAGTAAATATACCTTTTGCCTGACCTCTGTGAAAACTACAGTTTGCTGGCTGGCAGTATGGGAGTGATCTCCCTCTTGGGACGGGCTGAATCATGACCTGTGAAAGGGCACCGTAACACACACCTCAAAGAAGGATTCAGTGTCTGACCACTGACCCTGCCTAAACGAATCAGCCCCAGGGCAGGAGTTTACTTTTGCTCCCATGAGATCACAATCTCATTCAGCCATTAAATATACAGTGAACACAAGTCAGCTTTTGTATAATACAATATTTTTGAAAGAAGTTTATTATGCTCACCAAGGCTGCATTTATTTGATCAATACAGTAACATAGTAATGTTGTGAAATATTGTTACAATTTAAAATATCTGATTTATATTTTAATATGTTTTATAATTATATTCCTGTGATGACTAAGATGAATTTTCGGCAGCCATTACTCCAATCTTCAGTGTCACATGATGTTTCAGAAATCATTCTAATATGCTGATTTTGTGCTCAAGAAACATTTATTATTATCAATACTGAAAACTATACTTATTGCTGCTTAATATTTTTCTGTAAACCATAATAGACTACCGTTCAAAAGGTTGGTGTAAGTTTAAAAAAAAAAGTACTCAGCAAGGATGCATTAAAATGATGAAAAGTGATAGTAAAGACATTAATAATGTTATAAAAGATTTCTATTTCAAATACATGCTGTTCATTGAACTTTCTATTCAAAGAATCCTGAAAAAATTATATTTTTAATACTAAGAACCATTATTAATAATTGAGCACCAATAATAACTGAGCAACAAATCATCATATTAAAATAATTTTAGCATTTTGCTATAATTTTTACTTTTTTATTTACATGCAATGGATACAGAACATGGAATTATGGAAAGAAAAAAAAGGGGGAATAGGATATTGAGAGCCAAACTCAAACTCATATTACCTACATGACAAAAACATTAAAATGCATTTATTTTCACTATGTAGAATAAACAAAAGCCATACAAGAGCACTCTGCATCGTTACACAGGATAAACGGTTTGAAGAATGGATGTATGGTTTGGTGGATGGATGTACAAGAGCAAGAACCAGGATTTAAAAATACAATTTTTGTATTTATTGTTGAGTGCACAACGTGAAGTGCAACTTTGATTGATTTATAAATGTTCCTACTAATGTTAAAGGCAAAAATTGATGGTGAAACACCTGATATTTTCCATAACTGCAATACATCAAAATCATACATTTTCTTTTTCCCTTTTTTTTTTCTCTAAAAGTATTTATTTGGTTTCTTATTAAAGCCCTAAGTGTCAGTTGGTTTGATGTGGAATCAATCACAGACAGAGAGATTCCAGCATTGATTTCAGCAGAGAGAGCATTAATCAGCACTACAGAATGTGCCTGAACCCAAAAGCTGAATTTTTATTTATAGTGTCATTCCTGGGGTTGCTCTATAGGTCTTTTGCTCCCTCTTTCTATTGGGTGGCAGAAACCAATACCCTACATCAAAAAGGCCACAGAGATGAGAGGACTATCACACATTCAACTGATTCAAATAGATAAAACATGTATGTACTTATTACACATATAACACATCTACATTCTATAGTTGATTTTTTTTTTCACTCCAGTCTTTCACAATGTTGCTTCACTCCAGTTGTACAGAAATATGTTGGCAAATTTCATCATCTACGACAACAGTTGCCTGTCTGTAGACACTTTAAGGTGGTGAACAGATGCACATGTTAAGAAGTATGGCTCCTGCCAGTGTCTTTTAGTGACAAAAGATGAATAGAGTGTGTGTGTGTGTGTGTGTGAGAGAGAGAGAGAGAGAGAGAGAGAGAGAGGCATTCAAAATGTGTTATTAGCAGGTATAGTCTTGGCATGGAATAATAAGGACAAAATATGAGAAATACAGAAATATGTATTTTATTTTTATTATTTTTATTATTAATGTCTCCAAAGTACCACAGATATTGCAAAAATATTTATTTTAATGTATTATTTATGTCTGTATAGTACCAATGAAATCGTCTCCAGGTTACGTATGTAACCGTGGTTCCCCAAAGGGAACGAGACGCTGCGTCGAAGCGCCTAGGGAACGCCTTCAGCGTGACCACTCTCTGAATCACATGTGTAATCAGTCCAATTGAAGGGCGAGACGTCATAGGTGGGTGACGGCGGGTGACGTCATCGACCAGGAAACTTAAAAGAACGTGCGTTGGAACCAGCGTCAGTTTCTAGGAATGAAGCGAGCGCTGGCAGGGTTGCTGGAAGTATGGCACCGAGACGCAGTGTATCTTTCCCTTCGGGGAACCATGGTTACATACGTAACCTGGAGACGTTCCCCTTCAGGAACTCAAGCTGCGTCTAAACGCTTTGGGAAACAGAATACCCGCTGCGCCATACGAGCAAGTCCCTGTCAAGTGTGTATCTGGTGAGCACACCGAGACGAGAGAACCTGGGACCCTGGAGTAGATGTAAATTGTAAAATCGGACAAACGTCTGCAGAGAGGACCAGCCCGCCGCAGCACAAATATCTTGAAGGGCCACGCCCACTGATAAAGCCTTGGAGGCCGCCATACTCCTAGTCGAGTGCGCCTGATGGGTGACTGGAGGCCAGAGGACTCGTAGGCCAGTGTGATGGTCTCGACCACCCACCTACTCATAGTTTGCTTGGTCGCTGGAGCCCCTTTCTTAGGTGGACCAAGCAAACAAATAACTGATCTGCCTTACGCCATTGGGCAGCTCTGTGACCGTAAGCGTGCTCGCACTGGACAAAGCAAATTGAGTCTTTCCTGGCCTGCTTTCTGGAAGGGAGGGG